TTTTTTTTTCACCCAAAAAGCTATTTTTTTTAAATTTTTTTTTGATATTTAAAAAAAATTAATTATACATTTTTTATAATTAACGGATAAAGTGACAGTTTCATGATAGTTCCGATTTATGATAGTTCAATGTGAGATATTTTGGTAATTAAGGGCTCGTTTAGGAATAGATTATTTTAATAATTTTTTGACATTTAACTAAAATATAAGGTAAAAAAATTAATATGTTTAGAATAATTTTTTAATTTTTGGATAGATTACACTGACACCCCTTGAAATTTATGTTTATTACAGTTCTTCTCTCACCTTTTCAAAATTACATCTCTCTCTGATGTTTAAAGTTTCATTACATATTCTCCTCATCAATTTAATTTTTTTATATACCAATTTTGCCCTCACTATGTAAATTACATTGACACCTCTCACATTTTAAAAATTACAATCCACTCCCTAAGTTTTAAAGTACCATTACCAATTGTCCTCTTGGTTAGTATTAGTTGGAAAAAAAATTCATTGAAAAAAAAATTAATTGGAAAAATATTATTTGAAAAAAAAATTTGTAAGTAAAATTTTTAAATTTCTATTTAAAAATCAACGTAAACTCATTTTTTGAATTTATATTTTTTTCACAAATTTATAAACTGAGACAACAATTTATAAACAAAAAAACTATCAAACAAGTTTTTATAACAATTTTTTAAGTTTTGTAAATATAAATTGAAACTAAAAACGAAATAGTTACCAAACAAGTCTCAGATGGTAAAAATGTTGTAAAATTAATAAATAATTAAATAAGTTACCAACGTAAAAAATGACTTATCAAAAGATTCTTAGGTTATGTATGGTTTGATTTTTAGAATTTTTTTTTAAAAATTAAAAATTAATTTGGTTAAGAAATAAAAATAAAAAATAATTATCATTTAAGGGTAAAAAATAATTATCATTTTAACTTTTGGGCAGATTATATACATACTTATGGTTGTTTTAATTTAATTTGTAAAAAATTATTTATAACCACTCGAAAGATAAAAATATATAATAATTATCATTTTAACTTTTGGGCAGATTATATACATACTTATGGCTGTTTCAATTTAATTTGTAAAAAATTATTTCTAACCACTCGAAAGATAAAAATTATATAAAAATGATAATTATTTTTTATTTTTTATTTCTTAACCAAATTAATTTTTAATTTTTAAAAAAAATTTCTAAAAATCAAACCATACATAACCTAAAATTTTTTTGATAAGTCATTTCTTATGTTGGTAACTTATTTAATTGTTTGTTAATTTTATGACTTTTTAACCATCTGAAGCCTGTTTGGTAATCATTTTGTTTTTAGTTTTCAATTTATATTTACAAAAATTTTAAAAACTGTCATAAAAGCTTGCTTGATAATTTTTTTTGTTTATAAATGGTTGTCTCAGTTTGTAAATTTGAGGAAAAAACGTAAATTCAAAACATGAGTTTACGTTGGTTTTTAAAGAGAAATTTAAAAAATTTACTAACAAAAATTTTTTTCAATTAATTTTTTTTCCAACTAATATTAACAGAGGAGACAATTGGTAATGTTACTTTAAACCTTAGAGAGGGGATTGTAATTTTTAAAATGTGAGGGGTGTCAATGTAATTTACCTAATGAGGACAAAATTGGTATTTAAAAAAATAAATTGCTGAGGGAAAAATCTGTAATGAAACTTTAAATCTCAGGAAAGGAGATGTAATTTTCAAAAAGTGGAGAGAAACTGTAATAAATATAAACTTCAAGGAGTATCAGTGTGATTTACCCTTGATTTTTTAAGAAAAATATTTAAAAAATAAAGAAAAAAATAATCTTTAATTTTTTGGTGTATGTTATAAATTTTTTAACTTTTAAATTAAAATACTCACATATCAAATGAGGTCTAAGGGTTGGTTTGGGAAGGAGGTTGATTTTTTAGTTTTTTTTGGCTATTTTAACATGGGATAAAAAGCTTAGTTTGGGAAAGATTTTTTGACTTTTTAAACTTTTTTTGTGAGAAAAAAGTATAATAATTATGGATTGAATGTGATATTTTATTTTTTATAACTAAAATAACTTATTTCATCTTTTATGACTAAAATAAAAAAAAAAAACTCAATCTAACTGTTCCCAAACGGAGCCTAAATGTATTCTGTTAACCCTCCCTTCTTTTAATTCAGGAATCAAATGCTACTTAACAATAATTTAAGGGCTTTCGTGTAAATAACTCAAAATTTAATCCCATTTCCTTGAATTGAAACGGCGTATTCTCTCCTTTTGCATTCGATTCACAAACCCTAATTTCAGTCGACGTTCTCACAGAGAGATTGCCTTCACTTTCAATCAAATTAGGGTTACAGATCTGCTGCGATCATCGCTACTCTGCGAACCCTCCAACAATGGGAGGTCATGGTGGTCTGAATATTCTTCCTCAGAAGCGATGGAACGTCTACAACTTCGACAACAGAGAGAAAGTCCGCAAAGACGAAGAAGCCGCCGCCAAAGAAGAGCAGCTCAAGCGCGAGCAGTCTCGAAAGCGTGACTTCGAGCTTCGTCTTGTCCAACTCCGCCAAGCCCGTGGTTTGGCCCCTTCAGCTCAGGCCTCGTCGCCTTCTTCAGAGACAAAATCAAAATCAAAATCAAAATCGGAATCGAAATCGAAATCCCCGGAATTGGAATCGAAATCCAAATTGAATCACATTAATTTGTTTGAAGGTATTAAATTTTTTGATCCAGTAGTTTTTGGAGGTGAGGGAAAAGGGGAAGATGAAGGAGGGGCATTTAAGAAGATGAAGATGGCGAAGAAGGAGGCGGCGCCGAGGGTTGTGATGCCTGAAGATGAGAAGTATAGGTTGGGTTATGGGATTGCTGGGAAAGGGGTGAAATTGCCGTGGTATTTGTCGAAGCCAAACGATGATGCCAATGTAGAGGAAGAAGATGATCATCATCATCATAGGTCTAGAGAAGGGGCTAAGAGTGGTGTGAAGAAGACTTTGGAACAGCTGAGAGAAGAACGGTTGAAGAGAGAAAAGAAAGAGAAGGAAAGGGAGCAATCTCTGATGCTAGAGAAACGGTTCAATAGAGATAAGAAAGAGAAGGAAAGGGAGCGAGCTCTGATACTAGAGAAGGGTCGAAGAGATGTACCTTTCTTGAAGGACCGAGGATTTTCTAGGAGGTAGGTCCTAAGAAGTTGCAGTTGTTTTGCAGTTTGGCTGAATTTATTGTCAAATTTAATAATTGGTACATTGGTATTTATTCTGGATTTATTCTTGATGCTTTCTTGGATTGTTTGTTGGAAATTAGGTGAAGAAAAATTCTCCAACTATAACATATTGTGACATTTAGGTGCTAAGAAGTTGCAGTTGTTTTGCATTTTGGCTGAATTTATCGTCAAATTTAATAATTGGTACATTGCTATTACTTAAAAGATTTATTCTTGATGTATTCTTGGATTGTTTGTTGGCAATTAGGTGACGAAAAATTCTCTGAATATAACATATTGTGACATTGCATGATGAAATTGTTTGGCCTCATGTTTGATTTTTGAGTTGATTCTTGATGTACATATGCAACTCAAAATTCTGTCTGGTCCCTCTACTCTAAAATTCATGTTTTTTGCACCCTTCATATGTTGTTAGGCGAACCAGCAGATGCTCAACGCCTTGGCCTCAATAATTGAGCTAAGCTATTTCATAATTATATTATGGTCTCAAGCTGTAGCTGATTATGTTTCAGCGGTGGTTGTCAGCCTTGTTGCTTAGTTTCTTTAACTCAAAAGAGATTCACTCGAATGCATTATCTTCAAGTTTCTGCCACACAAAATGAACTTTTTTAAAGATACATTCTCCTAAGAAATCAGTGGTATAGGAGGAATGCATGCATAGATAGATTCTATTGTGCTAAACTAGACAAAATGAATGTTACTGTATCGATCATAGCATTCTATAATGTTTGATAAGTTTGTATTTGGAAACTTTATATTTTTCTTCTATATATATATATATATATATTTGTATTGAAAATGAATATCTTAGGCTCAAAACAAATTGTTGATAGCTAATCAAGTAACTTATAAGTAGTTACATAGTGACTAAGAAGGCTAGGGAGGATTATGGACAGGTTCTCCTTCACGAGTACGGGAAAATACATTTTAGTGAGATTTGTAGTGCAGAAGACAACTGCCTGTTTTGGTAATTTAGAGTACTATCATTCAAGCAAGCAGAAGCATAATTTTATATGCCTATGTACTTAGGACTCTATTAGATATTTTACATTATTAGAGGTCATCTCTTGTAGTTATATAAATATTGTATAGATGTTGTATGGCCTTTCAGAATGAAAGAGATAGCTTGAAAGGGGGATATGCTCTCATGAGGTCTGGTTCTCTTCAAACTGAACAGGAAGCTGTTGCCCTCGAAATCGGGATCTTCTGCATTTTTCTTCTATTTTGATTTTTAATTTTTCAAAAGGTACATAAAACATCACTGCATGAGGTAGTGCCACAAAGATCATATGGGCCCGAGCTTGTGAGGTACAAACACCAAAACAGAAACAAGAAACATTATGAAATCCACATTACAAGACTGAAATCTCAGGGAAAACAAAAACAAGGTTTTTCTTGCTCAAATGACAATGTAGCTATGAACAGGAAACAGACAAGCAAGCATATCAAACCCCCTGTTCGTCATGTGGGTGCTGAGATCTATCAGAGTGGAATTCTGTCACCTGTTCTTACTAGAAATTGAGAAATCTCAAAAAACCAAAAAACTGCATTAGACAAGTTTTCTACATATGCATACCAGTCAGAAAGCTAGAGAATCCCCAAAAAAGAAAATGCAAAAGAGCCATGAATATGTCATTTGTCAAAACATCTTAGCTTCAGAGTATGCGTTCATTTAGTATGCTCATCAAGATGCCTTGAACTTGAAACGGTGAGGTTTTCTTGATTGTTTGGAGTATGATTTAGAAGGTAAATTTTAATGTGGTCACCTTTCTTGATAGTTTGGACTATTCGCTCCCTCCTAGGCTCAAACACGTTCTTCCAGACTATTTTTGCTTTGATCCACAGTTTAGTGTCCCTACTTCTGGATGTTCTTTACAGAGCTGATGTGTGTAATGTTAGAATTAGATGGGTTAATGAACTATCATTATTTTTTCTTTTGACTTTGCTAATAAATATTGCATCGTGATTCATGACATATGTTTTCTGAGTGTAGGAGTGGGAAGTGAACTGGAGCCAGGCTTGGGCTGATTACGTACAAGGGAAGACCTGAAAGTTTTCAAATGGGCAAGGTCATGTACAGTTACTAATCTTGGAGACATGTTCATAGTTTTTGCTTAAATTTGTGCACAAGACTTTTTGAAGAACAATGGAAGCTGATTTCATGTATTTTGTTAGTGAATTTTAGGGCTGAGCATAAAAATCGAAAAAATCGTAGACCGCTCCGGTCCAAACCAAACCTTACAGTTTGGTTTGATTTTCTGAATGCATGATTCAGTTCTGATTTTGAAATAGGTGAAGTATAATTTATAGTTCGGTCTGTGATTTTATAGCTACGAATTTAGTTGAAATTGAACCGGATTGTTGAGATTATATATATAATTTGTTACCGAATATAAATACTAAAATATTTTATTAGTATTAAATTATATGTATGTATATTTTTGTATAGTGATAGAACTAGTTTTAAACAATTATGTAAATAATTCTTAGGTTGTGAATAATATTTTGTGTTCGTATTGTGAATAATGATAATATTTTGTAATAGCTAGGGAAAAAGAAACAGAAATATAGAGAAAAAAAAAGTAGCAAATCTGTATATTATTTTCAGAAAATTACATACCCTTCGTATGGGAGTTCCCAAATTATTTATAACTACTTCCTTGCATACCTCACACCTCTAACTAACTAACTTCTTTTCAACGGAGTTCCTCTGACTAACTAACTAATTTCTCAACCAACTACCTAACTAACTTCTTCTCAACTGACTCACAATTCTTGACATGACATATTTTTAAAATTTGCTGTTCAAACAGAACCGAATCATGGTTTAGTGGTTTGGTTCGAATTGGTTTGAAGATTTTTATGAATTGGTTTGGTTTCAAATCTGATGGAATTGTATGTAATGGCTTGGTCTTGGTTAACGGCTAAACCGAACCAATCCGAATAATTTTCACCCGTAATATATTTTGTGTCCTGATTCGTTTGTCATTGGGCAATCAGATATACAGAGTTTGTCTTGGCTTATGTTCACCTGCTTTCTTTGCATCAGAAGGCAACTGTTTCAGGTTAAATTTCATGACTTTCGATTTACCCATTCGCATGATAGGAATGTTATACGAAATGGCAGGATTATGGCAAATTAGGTCCCTGTGCGAAGGAAACTAAACTTCTTGAGAAATCTACTGTCCGTTTTGTGTAGCAAAATGTGTGCCGACAATGATTTTTAGGGATTGCGAAATAGCAAGTTTGACTCTGGATATAATTTAGTTGTCTCTGAAAATTAAAGAATAAGATTTGATGGTTTGTTTAGCATTACTATATGTATACAACGAGTTTGGGCCTTCTATCTAGAAAAGTTTTTAATGAGCTCCCACCACAAGATTGAACCAGGGCCATTCCATTTGCCTTCCTCACCTTACCTTGTGCTTTGGTGGTAGACAAGCTAAGTAATAAGTTGTTCAAATTTATTTTAATGTATTTTAAAATATGTTCAAGTTGCATTCGTTCATCTATCATTGAATTTGGAACAAACTTTGATCAAGCAATAACGAGCTGAACTCGAATAGTAGCTTATGAAAATTTAATTTTAAAACTTAACGAGTTTTAAAATGTGCAATGATACTTGTTTACCTTTTAAGTCAATATCAAGCAAGTTTTAACTGAGCCGATAACGAGCCAAATTCATTTAGTTTGAATTTTTTATAATGCATATAAATTTATTGGGTCAAATAGTAGTTTGTTCACACAAGTTTTAAAATGTATTCAAAATTTAAATTATTTACATACTAAATTGATAACAAACAAATTTTTAATGAGCTAAATATGAATCAAACTCAAGGATTGAAACCTTCTATGAGTAAATAATTTTTTGGGCTAGTTTATATGGGGATTTTGTTTTGATTTTAATTAAACTCCTTGTTAGTGGACTTAGGATTAGTCCCCGAGAATAGTCGATTTAATAAACTAGATATCAAGTTATAATAATAATAAAAAAAACCCTTGATTCATTTTATAATCTTTCATGTTCTTCAATACGTGAATTGAGCTTGAGTAATTTGCTTCGTTTTACTCACATCTGTACTGCTACTTTGTCGCGTTGACATTTCCACATTGATCACATATCAGAGCATAGTGTTAACAACATAGAATCAAAATGCTATGCATGTATACAAAGAAATTGTCCTCTTTTGGAGTTTCTTGGGACATTCTTGTCATGCCATACATGAATAGAGTATTAAAAGTAAATGAGTACATCATATGAATTTTATATGTTTGGTCTAACTTGGCTACGCATGATACTGTCGGCAAAAATTATTTTATTAAAATAACATGATAGATTGGATCTCATTTAATGTCTAGGACATTACTCTTTTAACCAATCTCAACTAATGTTAGAGTGTTTTGTTTGGACACCTTGCTAGGAGAGTGAACAAAATTAGATTTGGTGGCATCATTAGACAACTATGAGTCTTGTTTTTATGTTCTTTTTTTTTTTTTCTTTATTATTTTTTGTACAGTATGAGAATGACATCAAATTGAAATTTTAACTATGAAAAAAATTAAATACTTGTAAGTATACAATAGATCCAAAGATTCCAAACAAATACAAGGGGAAAACACCGACCAAAAATTTTAGTACATTTTTTAAACGTGCATCAAAACTAAATACATTTTTCACATATTTTTTTCTTATCATTTTACATATTTCTAAAATAACCATACATCTTTGATGAATCAAGGGAAAATGCATCTACCCATAATTTTCCTTCCAAAAATACCCCTGAAAATGAGGGTATTATTGATGAACAAAAAAGTATCAATATATCTCCATGCCTATTCCCTTTTATCTTACAGTAACCATTAATAAGCTTCTTAATCCCAATCTTATCTTACAATTAAAAAAGAATATATATATATATATATATATGTATATTATGGAGATGCATTAGCTAAAGGTTGGTGACAACAGGTAGGTCTTGGTGGCCATAACATGCCAAATCTGCCAAACTATTCCCAACCAACAATATAAAGGTTATCCTTTATGATTATGAAATAAATATAGTTTTGTTAAGTGTTTAGGTTAGAGATGTGCCTAGCAAGAGGAAACAGTTAAAACTCACATGCTAATACAATATTATTATGCTGACAATCACAAAGTTGAATTCAATTTTTTTTTTTTATTTTTTTAAGGGGGTGTTTGGGAAGAAAAAAATAGCCTAATTTAAGCTAAAATTCACAAAAAGACAAAATAGGCTAAAATAGCTAATAAGACAAAATATCACATTAAACCCAAATCATTTCACTTTTTCTCTCACAAACATCACATCCAAAGATAAAAAAATCCAATTATCTTCCCAAATACAAAAATTTTAGCCTACTAAAATAACCAAAAACTAAAATAGCCTACTAAAATAGCAACTTCCCAAACGAAGCCTAAATTTCTACCTCTGAAATATTACCTGCTTTCTACTATAATTTATTACAACAAACTTGGAACATTTCTAATACCTGTAGCAGCCTGAAACAAGTATGTAACATATATTATATAATAAATATATATGAGATTAGTTCTTAATCCAGAAAAACCATCTTCTCCTCCTCTTTCTCCTTCTCATAATATATAGAAGAGAGAGAGAGAGAGAGGGAGACAGAGAGAGGTTCTTGTTGGAAAGCTACCATGGGAAAACTCACCAAGCAAGCTCTCATGTATGCCGAGAACCTTACGCTTCCCTCTGTAGGTTTTACAACATTTTTTTTAATGTTATACAAACGGAAAAATTATATATATACATATTGTATATAATGATGTGGTTGAAGTGAACGAAGATCATTCATGAATTTAAACAAAAACCGCAACCCATTGAAGATACCTGTTAATTTCAAATATGTTGTCATTAGTCATTACATCATTCTGCATGCATTTTCTGTATACTTTTATTATTTGTGCCCCTTTTATTGGTTGTTTTGCAAAGCAACCTGTTTGTGAATTGCTTTAACTTTTCCTAACCAAGCATGTTTTGAGGCATGACATTCTCTATTCCCAAATTCTTCTCTCTATCTCAATGTATTTTTAACTATTAGATCATGTCTTGAGATTCACAATGTTCTGAGTTTTTTTTGTATGTTTTAATAGTTATGAGTGCATTATAACAACAACAAAAAAAAAAAAAAAAAAATATATATATATATATATATTTTTTGAGACAGATGATCTTGTCATGTTTTGATTGTGCACAAAATTGATCTAAACATTGTTGTTTTTTTCTTCTCTAAATTGTGTGTTGGGTTTTTTATATTACCAGTTTCAGGTGATAGTAGTAAATGGGAACCTGGGTTGTGCTTATTGTGGAAGGAGAGTCTCCCAACTTATATCCAAAATGAGTGGTGAGATCAATCTCTCTCTCTCTCTCTCTCTGTATATTATACAAACAAATATAATTTTTTAATTTTTTTATATAGTATACTCATAAATATATAGTAGTGATTTAGCAATGGATAATTAAAACAATTAAACCGAAGGCCTTGTGACTTGTACGTAGATTTGGATGTCTAATATTTACTTACATGCTAAAGTAATTAAGAAAAATCAAGGTCTTGGAATAAGATTTGGATTTCTAATTTGAATCAAGTTTACAAAATGAACTAAATTATTTGAGTTTAACTCATGTTTAGCTTGTTAAAATCTCGTTCATTATCAACTCCTTACATAAACAAGCCAAATCAGAACATATGTTCAAACTCCTCAAGCTAAACTTAAACAATCTACTATTTGACTCGACTTGACTAATTTATAGCCCTAATTTGAACTTGGAGGAAAAATGATTAATGGATATTTGACATAGTAAAATTCACAAGAAATCGTTTTGCAGGATTGAGAGAGTACACGGTGGATGTGCGAAACAAACAAGTGATATTGAAGGGTGATTTCAAGTTTAGTTGCAGTAATACAAGCATTAATGATGTTGTTCCCATGAAGAAAATGAAGAAGAGTGATAGGCTTCCATTCAAGTTCTCCATCAATTTTCTCATAGCAACTTGCATCCCCAGATGTTTTTCTAGTTGATTATAATTACCAATAATTTATTTTTTGGGTAATACAAAAATGAATTAAAGTACAAGTATTGCAGTGAAGGCACTACATGAAGCACCGTTTCATCTTGTGAGGTGGCGATGCTTCATATTGTGGCCAGTTTGCCATTTGTCTCTGGCAAACAACAGATTTTAATTTAGAAATGAATTTTTTTCATTCTTATAGATTTTTTTATATAAAAAGAACTCTGCATTATGATTTCGTAAGACAATTTTGTAATTAATATATATATATATTCTTATCCATATTTCTAAAGAGATTGTTTATGTGACTCAAACCGGTGCCACTACAAATGCTAGCCTCATAACAAGAAGAATAAAGACTTTGAAAAGTCCAGCAAAGTTTTTGAGAAATAAAAAGGAGAATCAAATAAATAATTATCCTAAATTACAACAAAAAAAAAATGCTTCTCGACAATATGAGTCATCCAAGAACAGTTTACAATTAACTACAAATCCCATGAACCACCCTAAACAATTTTTTTTTTTTTTTTCTCTCTACGGCAACAAAATTATGAAAGAGCACCATCCGTCCTCTCTCCTCGCGAATTTCATTCTCTTTCTATATTGTCTTTTATGTTGGAGGAGACGAAAGAAAAAAGTATGGAAAATTTGATTGCAAAAAGATGAATTACCAGATGAATGATTATGTCCTCTTCATGAGATACCCCAAAATGATGCCAACCAAGCCAACAATGATCACGAACATGAAAGGAACACCACTTTGATTTCCTTTGCTTTCGCGCCTCAAGATTTCCTACACATCGTAGTTTTATAAAGATTAGACATTCATCAGTGATATATATAACAAAAACAGAAAACTATATCTCAACAGCACAGCTTAACAGCGATAAATCTGAGTTACATTGAGAACAAACACTGATAAATCTGATCATTTTGTTATAAATGAATTTGTTTAAAAGTGAGTGACACACTGTCGACAAGGAAACTTTAAATGCAGGAAAACAGAATAAATTGAAAACAAAATAAGCAAAAGTAGTAGAAATTTGGCCGAGAAAGTATTTTATGTAATGGATACACTGCGATTTAGCTAATGTGATGTACTAATCCACTCATTATTTGTCGTGTGATAAAAATTGAGATCGGAGTTTGATGTGGCTAATCATCATCTCAAGTCAAGCACAAAGTGACTTCTCAAGTTCCACATTTATTACATAATAAATAATGAGTGGAAAAGTACATCACGTTAGCTCGGCCACATGGCGTACTTGTTACATAAAAATACTGTTCCCTAAAATTTAAAAATAAAATAAAGGTGGAGAGATTAAAACGTATAAATTCACTTTTTTATTTTATTTTATTAAAAAAATCATTGGATCCGAAGTTATTTCCTTTAATTGCAATGATTTCATTAATATCCCAAGCAATGAACATGCATATCAGTATCCAACACGAGTCCAATACAGACACAATACATTCTTAGAAGTGTCCATACTTCTTAGCTTTACCTTTTTATAAGTCCCATATGAAGCAAAGAATGCCAATTGCATCAAGGATATGTGCATTCATTAATATCAAAATTTAAAAGCATATTATTAATTCAATGTAAATCATCACATTCATAACGCACCATATTCAAATTCCATGTCCGCTAATAATAATTTTGTTAGAATTTACCATCACCTACCACCACTACCACCTCACCTACTCCACTAAACCTAACCCACTACACCACTACCACCTCACCTACTCCACTACACCTAACCCACTACACCACTACCACCATCCACTACACCTACATCTATATAAGGAACCATTTGTAATAGACAGAAAATCAATCAATATATCAATATATCAATCAATAATACAGTATTTTTAACGTGGTATCAGAGCAGGTTTAGAACCTGATATTTTTCGCTTCCCCGGCGGGCGGCAACCTCACATGAGCTGCCCGCCGGACCTCAACCTAGTCCGCTAAGATTTTTCTTACACATACCTTGATCACTCTGCATGTGCTTCCTCCCCAACTGTTGTCCAAGCACAAAACTCTTCTCTCCTCTCTCTTTTTTGCTTCAGATCCTCTGAACAACAATCGTACAACCAGGGTTTCGAAAAAAAAAAAAATTCCAATGGCTACTAGTATAGCTACTGGAAGCGGCAAACAGCGATCCATACAGAAGGACCTCTCAAGGTCATGTGGAGTGTCCAAGTTCTTGCAAGTCCAGAGTCGCCGGCGAAAGACCGACACAGCAAAGTCGACGGCCGAGGGCGCCGCATCCGCATGCCGATCATCTGCGCCGCCAGGGTCTTCCAGCTCACTCGCGAGCTGGGCCACAAGTCCGACGGCCAGACCATCGAGTGGCTCCTCCGCCAAGCCGAGCCATCTCTCATCGCCGCCACCGGCACCGGCACAACTCTGGCAAGCTTCTCCACCGTCTCCTAACACTCAATGGCAGAATACTCAAATCACAGCTGCCAGGGATGGAGCAAAAAATGCGGCAAGATTTATTATAAAAAGAAAAGGCAGCACATTGACGCAGCAGATATGAACAATCAAGGTCCAAACATCATCTGTGATAAAATGTGTATATATAGCTACAAACGTTTGATGAATCAATTGACTTAATTGTACAAATTATCTCTGTAGACTTGATTCTGGTAAAAAATTAAGGGATGGAGAAAGGGTTATAACTTACTGAACTTAACTGCAACTCTACTAGTAGCTATAAAGGGGAACAAGAAGAGAGAGGGAGAGAGAGAGAGCAGTTATACCTTGTTCACAACTACTGAAACATTGTATGTTTCCGTTTAAAAAAATTAATAATAATCATGAAAATGCATTCTCCTAACTACTGAGGACATCACAAAAATGGGTTGAATTGAGATAAATGCAAAATAATCTACAATCAATCCATGTACAAGAGGAAGATTTAATTAGTGAAGAAACAGAAGAGATGCCAACATTCCACTGTGTTTGAGCACTATCAAAGGTTAAAAAAGTATTCTGTCTTTCCTGCGCAATTTAAAATAGCAATTAGAAGGGGCAGAAGAAAGTGGTTTAAAACTGGAAATTTGTTTTTCTAAACTACCTTTTTTTTTCTATGCCTTAATTGTACTCAAGATGGTATTAATTAGGCCAGATGTTCTTGCTGGTGCCTATCTGACTCTTCTGTTTCTTCACTAAATAGCTCTTACCGATGTTCATACTAAAAAAATATAAATCTAACTTAGACTTCCATATGATATTAAATACTCCCAGATGACACTGATGTTACCATAAAAAATAAAAATTTGCATTAAAAAGTTTATATATGAGAGGGGGGCTGTTAATCGGACCGGATCGGATTTTGGCAGATCCGACCCGGATCCGACCCGTTGACAGGCCTAATCTGACATTAAAGGATGATCTAGCAATAGCTCTTACCGATGTTCATACTAAAAAAATATAAATCTAACTTAGACTTCCATATGATATTAAATACTCCCAGATGACACTGATGTTACCATAAAAAATAAAAATTTGCATTAAAAAGTTTATATATGAGAGGGGGGCTGGGATTTCACCTCTGAAGATTTGTCATTAGCTTCAACAAATGCTCGTGTAACCTGCAAAGTATCAACAAAAAGTTCATATTAGTATCTTCGTCTTCTTCTTCTTCTTCTTTGTTCCTATTAGCATCTTCATGCTGATTAAAAATAAAAATTGAATGGGAAACAAAAATGAGGAAAAACAAAAACATGAAGGAGACATCTCAGAAACCAAAAGAATCAACCTCAGAAGCATTGGAATTCCCGTTGTCCAACAGTGGTGCTTTCGGTGAAGCACCTTCTTCCGAACCCTCTGCAACTGGTGACGGTGGTTGGGGTGGAGAAACATAAATCACTCTCAATTTGCACTCCTCAACAACACGTCCTTCTGCCTTAACGAACTACAGAACCACACCACTACCACAAATTATAATCCTTATTAATTAAAGACAACAATATTGCAATATACTACTTTTAGCTTCTTGCACTCCACATCACTAGTGAATAAAAATGCAAAAGTGGAGCTTTCAAATCTAATTCACTCAAAATAAATAAGCGTCGATCATATAACTAACCATTTCTGCGGTAATGTCCTTCGGGGTTGCATCTGGACTCGCAACTATGCTTTGAAGGAGAAATTTGTCCTTGCATTGCATGTCAGGAGGAGCCTCCTTTTGCGCTTGCATGGTAACTATAAATCAAAGAAGAAAATAAATGATAAACTATTGATAAAAATAACAAGGAAATCCAAATCCAGTTTGGTTGCAGAGAAAATGCAGGGGAAAAAAATTGGGGAAAAATACAAATCAGTGGTGCCTTCATAAAATATTTACCAATTCATTAAAAAGTTTACAACTTTAATTATTAAAGTTGGTAAAGTTTACCATTGATTTGAATTTTTTTATTTTATTTTAAAACATACACTGAATTGCAATTTCCCTAAAAAATTATTACTACCGAATCCTAAATGTAATAATTTAAAACCAGCCAAATAAAGCCATTAGGCTCTTTATTAAGCAAATTCTTTTAAATAACTGTGAAACCAACAACATGTAATAAAACCATAAGATCCGAATTTCCTCTTTCTTTATCTAGATTCTCAGCAACCAAACAAGAGGAGAATGGAAATGACAAATCAAATTGAATAGCAAAAGTACCTATAACATCGCATGTTGAACGAGGCAAAACAATTCCGGTATTTGGACGAACACAATACTTCTTTGGATTCGTTGTCTTCACCTAAACATACAAAATTCGCGATTTGTATGACCCACCCAAGCATAACTAATTTAAGATACAAAAATTGCAAACGACGAAAAACTAAATCTACATTTTCATTTTCAAAAACTACAATGCCAATGATTTAATTGTTAAAACAATTGAAAAAAAATAAATAAATAATTACCTTAAACGCGACATGACTTTCGGTCTTATTAGACAATTGAAGAGAACAAGAGATCTGTTTCTTGAGTTCAACTAACCACAAAAAACAAATCGAAAAGAAGCAAATTTAGAAAACAAATACTAGAAGATTGAAAACAGATCGATAAATAGGGTCGAGAGGGACTTACAGGGGAATTTGAGCTCGACAGGCTCGATGTTGAGAAGCTCCATTGTGCTCATTTTTGCCAAATGTGTTTTCAAAAAGCAGTTTTTTTTTGTTTTGTTTTTTGGTTTTTAATTTTGAGAAGCAAAACGTTGAGGAAGATCCGATAATGAGGTCTAGTTTTTGGAAACGTTTTCTGAAAACAAAAATTAACGGAGAAATCAAGGATGTTTGGGGAAGAGAGAGATTAATTAAATTGTTTGATTAAATGTGAAGAGGTTTTTGTATAATAAATGCCAAGGACAACGAGGGAAAACTAAAATTTGCGAAACGCGCGATAATCGAATGCTCAATAACGGTAACACCATGTAATGTGGCGTCAGATACCCAATACTATCACGCCACGTCACTACGTGTTTGCCTGGGATGCGATTCCATGTTTGCACCAACACCCATTGTATCAAATACTGCTACCATTTTATTGTTTATTATTTTTAAATTTTATTTAGTTTTGTTGGGAGGTTTGTCTAGGATGCAACTTGGACGGATTCAAATTGATTGAAAGGTTGTTCACACCAAGCCTCAGTTGTATTGAGAGTTGCAACTTGGACGGATTCAAATTGATTGAAAGGTTGTTCACACCAAGCCTCAGTTGTATTGAGAGGTGCTCAAGTCTACTCAAACTCAATTTGTAACTCAATGTTATCTGGTTAAGTCTAATTTAAATTAACCAAATTACCTAAATTTATTAGGGGTGAGCATGGTTCGGATTGGAGTAAAACTAGGACCAATCTGTTATTTACGGATTTTGAAAAATTGGAACCAATCCAATCCGTTTAAGTCGTGAAACCAATCTGAACCAATCTATTTTAATACGGATTGGATTGGTTTAGGATCACGGATTTATATAATTAAATAACAAAAATATATATATAACACTTTATTTTCATAAAAATATAAATATAGCATAATATTAATTTCACAATAGCAACATGTCTTTTCATAATAGTAACAAACTGTTCTAGAATTTAAACGACCATAAAGAAACTAGTTCCACCATAAGTATTTAGACCATTACAAATTAACACTAAAAACTAGCAAACAAAAGTAATAAAAGAAGATACTATGCAAGTTTAGGTTTGGATTAAGTTTTATATGAAATAAAAATATAGACTATTTGTATACGGTCCGGATTGGTTCCAATCCGGAACCGTGAGATTCAATCCGGAACCAATCCGTGAACTACGGATTTTTAATTTTTCAATCCGGAACGGAACCACGGATTCAAAAACTAATCCAAACCTACTGGATTGGACTGGACTGAATCGGATTACGGATTTCACGGATTTCTTACTCAGCCCTAAAATTTACATTTTAACTAAATTGATTAATTTGTTAAAATTAGATTGTTAATATTTTTTTTTAATAAAATAAATAAATTGATTGTAAGTTCGTGCAAGGGTTATATGTTTACATAATCTAAAAAATAAAAAAATAATAATAAACAAATCATATGTCCAATTGGATAATTGTTCCTATTTGTTCATTGTTGTTTACCATGTTACATAGTCAGACATATTCATATGTTATTTTACACTCATGCAATAATATTTGGTTATTCACACTCTCATTTTATATAAATATTTTTTACATTTTACTTTTGTTATATAAAATTATAACAAATCCTTTTCATTTTACAATGCAAAAATAAAAAGAATTTGTTGTAATTTTGTATAATGAAAACAAAAAGTACAATGTAATTGACTAAAGATAATGCAAAAAAACATTCTCATTTTATATTCAATTGCACTAGAGCATGACCACGTTATTTAAAAATATGATTAATTATAAATAAATAAAAAATTAGAAATTACCACATAAGTTTAGATTACTATGTAGCATGTGTTTCAATGGTGTTTTGTGAATTGAGCACCCTTTTTTTTTTTTTTTTTTTTTTTTTTTTTTTTTTTTTTTTTTGTGAATCGTGTAAGTACATAATGCCTTATTATTAGGTGAGCATATAGCAAAAGCAATATTCTGGGAAAACAAAATAATTACTCAAAATAGATAAAATCAGTTCATAGAGCTCTAAATTTCTTGAAATGTTTTCTAGCATTGATAATTGCTCACTGAATTGTCAAGACCTAAAAATCAATTACACAAGATTCCAAAACTAAGAACATGGGGAGAAAAAGGGATAAAGAATGATAAAATCATTTTAGCAAATTAGGCTCTACACTTCTACTTGCCAATGAATTCATTTTTTCATCTCTTCTATATGTTGTACAAGTCCTTGCAAGACCTGTGGAGACATGGTAAAAAGTCGGACAATGAAAAAAAAAAATCATTATTTAGGAGCAATTATTTGGTGATACTGAACCATCATGTCAATATATGAAAATGCAAAAACACGAAATTACATTTGGGACCCAGATCCTCGAAATGATTTGGGACCCCAAGTCTCACTACTTTTTCTTTTTTTTTTCTATGTATCCGATCTGATAGTCCGAACTATTGAATAATTTTCCGTTGTTTAGATGGCCAGTAATTATAAAAAGCATATCTATTTCTCACTCACCACCTTCGTATCCTCAAGTGCACCTTCCAATGCCTGAATTTTCTGAGACAAAATTATCAACATATATTATATAAGAGGCAAACATATATGAGAGGATATATATATACATATATATGTATAAGTTAACTCACCTTCTGGGCATCTTTTAGTGCAGCTTCAAATGCCAGGATTTTTTGTGGCTGAGTCTTATTAACATCTTTTGTTTCATAGACATCTTCGATTTGGACATCCTCCTGCATGGAATAAATTCAATTCATAGTAGAGACAACTATGGGCTCATTTGGTGCACGTGTTAGAACAAATTATAAATTATAATTTCAAGTAGAAACTATTAACATATTTGATACAGTGATTAGATTGTAGATTTAAGTTGCAGAATAACATCTGTTTAAATAACCTGTAAATTGACTTTTTGTTACGTAATTGTCCTTTTTGCCCTTATTAGAGGTTTGGGAGTGGAAGAGAAATGAGAGGTTAGGTTGTTTATATAGAGGTGGTAATTTTATTTTATTTTTAATAAAAAAATTGGGATATTTAAATAAATTTTCAATTAAAAACAATTTTCTGCATAAGCAGAAAGCTAAGAAACACACCTTAAACAGCTTTTTAAAATCAACTTCTTTAGCCTCAAATAAGTTGAAATATATTTATTATATTTTTCTTTAGGCAAAAAAAAAATATATTATTATATTCAAGATGTTTACAATGTTGAAGATTTCAAGCCCTTGATGCCTCTTTTTAAGTACCCAATTAAGCAGTGCCAATGCACATAAGCTACAATCCTAGTAACTAGCAAGTCATAGTTTAATAAAATCAACATTATGTAGTATACTCAAATATTACGGTAGAAGTCTAGTAAAAGTTTTGATGACTATAATAGTTGATGATTCCTTGTAAGAGCCGAGGTTGCTTACTGTATCAGAAACCATATCGCTCCTTTCACCATTATTATACTCCTCTGCAGTGCCAACCTGTGCCTGAAGAAACAAACACCAAACCTTGTTTTAATTAATCAACATCACGGAATGGTTAAAAAAAAGGTTCATGTAGCATTTAATTTCACCTGAAGTATCTCTGTAATTTCCGGATCATTCCAGGGTCCTTTGTCGTTTAACAGGCAGCCGCCATAGTCAGAACATGTGCAGTTTCCACCCAGGAAACTTGGCAAATTACTGTACAAATGAAATTAGCAGTAGTACACAATATGCGCAATGTATAAAAATATGCATGAGTCAAGATCAAATCTACAAGCATTTTATGCTTTCATTTTTTATGCAAATATACAAAACTATGCATCAGAAATGTTACCTTGGATCAATAACTTCAGCCAAGATACTATGGTAGTTGCTTCCAAGCACCTGAAATTGTAATTTTTGAAGTTTAAATGAAAACTTACGCTGCTTTTTTTTTTAACAAGAAAAAATACATATGTGCTTACTTGGATCTTTGCTAATGTGCGTGCATCAAGAAAAACCATGAGTGCTTTCCAGAGGACCCTAAAACCAGATCCAGCATTGACAATAAAAAGTTGATGAAGTGTCTGCCAATTTATCACCGTCAGAATTTATTAGGTACTATGTAACAAGAGTGTGATCATACTTCTTTGTCCATTTCTTTGATGATGAATCATGTGCATACGATTATTATACCAATTTTTTTTTTTTTTTTTACATGAATGATCTAGGCACAATGATCTTCAAGATGATCGAGATATCAACATTATTTTCATAAAATCAAATGTCAAGGCAACAGAATCCTACACTGATGTTCTAGTTTACATATGATACCCTATCCGCTGCTGTTGAATAGCAGTTTTCAAGGCATTTTCTACATACCTCAGGATAATAATTGCTGTCAATCTTTTGAATTTCTGTGAAGATATTCCTTGCAGGCTTTGAGAAATTAGAGAGACCCTATGCAAAGAAGATAAACTGGTTTTATTTAAAGGTAGCTAAAAGCGCATCAACATTATGGATGATGACAATAAATTATTTTTTGAGAGCTTTTGAGAATCTGTCACGAGAACAGCTCTTAAAATCAAATGAAATCAATTCTTCACAAGTTTGCAAGTGTATATGTTGAGAATCTGTGTTTGTGAATTATAACAACTTTCAATGACACCAATCCATGTGTAGCAATAATACCCCGATAAATACACATACAGACACATATAACATTATAAGTAGTGTTTTACAATCCGAGCAGGACTCACATGTTTGGCTGTCGTTTGTAAGGGTCTGGGCCCCACATCACACAAACCAATAACTGCCGAACATGTGACTCTTGTTCAGCTTATAATTCGCACTGTAGATCATTTTCCTAACATTCCATATCAAATCTGAACACGAAGTCTTAACTTCTATATTCATTCTTTCTAAAAATTCTATATAAGCAAATAGTACATAACAACAATATGATGATAATAATCTAACCTGTAACCGCTGCTACTGGAAAATAATTATAATTCCTAATTTCCAAGGTTGTTTTTCAAGATTAAACATATGTTTTTACACAATGAAACTTACAACTGTTTGACAAACCAATTATTGAAGACAATCAGAACTATATTCAGCATCCAAACAGAACTAAAGACACTATCAAATTAAAGGCAGGGTACGAGACTTTACACAAACATATCAAAACCATATCCTCAACATCCAAGAACTTAGGTTGTGTTTGGATCATAGATTTTGGTAGGCATTTGGAAAGGGAAAGCAAAAGATGAGGGAAATGCAGTACATGAAATTAATGTGTATGCATAAATACGACTGAAAAATAGAAACAAGTTGAGTTACTCACCACACCCTTCACATCTAAGATGCTTGTGGTGGAAGCTATATGCTTCTTTGCTGAGACCGAACATGCAGGGTATCTCCAGTTCAATGTTTTCTCTTGTTCAGACACGTGATACTTCATGAATCTATCGATAGTAGTTATTTGCAAAAAGGCATTAAGATCTACCATTCCAACCCTTTCTATGTATAGTGGTCTTCCATACTTATCAACTCCATGAAATCCATGAGGATAGCATTTCTTAACGTCTTTGTACTCTTCGAACTTAAATTCCTGCAGTATATATTAAACAAAGAATTCCACAAGAATCAACAGATATAGTTTGAGCAAGAAGGCAGTGTATTTGATTAAAGAGGACCACCAAATAGATTTTTGATTTTCTGAATGGGAAAATGAAAAAACTATCTATATAAAAATAAAATAAAAAATATTAAAAAAACTCATGATAAATAAATGAGATCCGTAATCTTAAATTGAACATGCATAGTTTTGGTTCTTTGAACTTCTCATCCTAAATATAGCATGATTTTAAAAAACTAATCAATCTTCTTAATTACAGACATTCAAGCTGATGTGTTTACTTGTCAGCTAACTCCTCAAAAAATCAAAATACATGTGAGGATATCAATGAATTAACCTATAATGAGACATCTATGTCATGGAGAGTTGTGTATGCCAGATGTGGAGACCTGTTTTTGTCTCAAACTAGAATAAGCCCCAAATCCTAGGACGTAGTGTCAAATCCTAGAGCATAGTGACACATTAATAGCACAAATTTTAGCAGATTGTAAAACTTAAATTTGACTCTTCCTTTCTTAATGTGCTCCGTTTTTTCTCTCCTGGCTTTTGGTACTAAATTAGAGGCATACTGCAGGAACTGTACAACTTAGCAGTTAGAATAATTTAATTTAACAATTTTGTAAGGTTTTACTATTATTTTTTTTATTAAAAAAAAAATTACTAATATGTTAAGTTCAATGAGGTTTGTGTTTTTACAGTTAGGCATCATCAATATTCATAGAGAAACAGTCATTATCTTATCGTCATGATGCTTCCAAACGGCATCAAAAGCATATATTATATACAGGTTTCAAAATTCACCAACTCAAAAAAAAGAGAGAGACACTTCCTGTCTAGACCTGCCATACTAATTTGAGTGAATGCTTATTAGTACCTATTCTTCATAAGCAACAGCCTTTTCAGGGGAAAAAATTGAAAATAAATCAATTATATTATCTAAGGACTGCAAATATGATCTAGACTTCCACTCATGGGCATCAAAATAGTTCCAACAACAAATTGCTACAGGTAGATAGTCTGAAATTCACCTTTACAATTGTATCAACTTCAAATTCTTCTCGCCATTTAAGATATTGTAAAAACATATCTTTTGCTTTCATCAGATCAAAATCCCTCATTCGCAAAAATCTGACATGACATCATGGAAGAAAACCACTGTAAATATATGTAATAGTAAAATTACTCCAAACAGAACATCATCTTTGCCCGATTCACACTTCACCACACAGTACTCAAACAATGCTACATAAAGAGCTTAACAAACTTCATTGAAACTACTTCATCCCAGAAGGAGGCTAATTATTTATGTATGTAAAAATGTCACAGCAGAAACATACCGTAAAAGTGTGGTAATCACTGTGTTTCCCTGGCAGGTGGCCCTCAAGCAAAAGCAATTTACGGAAAGATTGAACAATTTGATCATCTTTTGGATCACGAGCTTCTTTGGGAACTGCTAGCAAGCTTTGGCTCTTTCTAATTCTCTTTAGTGAATCCCGAATCTTGAGTGGGTAAGACAACATGGACTTGCAATTTAAGTTTAATGAAGACAATTTCTTGTACTCCTTTTGAGGAGGTAAATTCCAATGGCTTTCTATAGGTGGATAGATAGATTTAGCTTTCTCTTTAGCAGAATTAGTATCCTCAAAACTAGAGAAATGCTTGCTCCCTACAGAACCTTTTGATATAACTATTTCCTTATTTCTCTCCCTTGAATTATGCATATGTACTTATCAAAGCTATCGAGGAATGAAAAAGAAGGAGAATTTCTTCTTTCACATCCAATCCTATTGTACCCAAATCATGTTCTTGCTTAGAAATTATCTATGACCAAGATTTCAAAGTTATGTAACGAAAACATGCAAGAGCAGAATCTATAGCAGCAAGAACACAACAACTCCCTTCTAGAACTCTGTTGAATCCGAAGATTACCTGAATATAATAATAGAAGGTAAAGAAAACTGTCAAAAAAATTCTGATATGACTATTTCCCTAAATCTGTTCTTTGATTCATGCATATGCACATATAAAAGCTACAAACGGACAATAACTTCTTCTTCTAAATCCAATCCTTCCATACCCAGATCAAGTTTTTTTATTTATTTATTTATTTATTAAATGACCTAGACTACAACAAGGTCAATTAAATCCCTCGAATTCAAACTAAAAAAATATCATATAAACCAGTTGGCATCAAATTTAGGAGGGCAAGAGAAAAGTACAACCTAAGAATGTCAAAAAAAAAAAAAGTCACGTTAACGTAGAAGTGGCAAATAAAAAACATTAGAGAAACCCATTTGAGAAAAATCACGAAAATGAATTTAAATGCAGAGGTAATACAAACCCAATTAAGAATGAGTAAGTGTATCGAGTTTGAAGGAGAGGAGATACTAAGAAAAAGAAACAAAAATGGAATTCTGTGGCGAATGAACAAAGCAGAGAATCGAGTGAACAAGATGGAGGAGATTGAAAGCAATGTTGGGGCATCGAATGCCATGCTTCGTCGTTCGTCATCGAATTCGAATTTTGGTTGTTTTTGAATATCAAGGAACAGATAAAAAGTGAAGTCTCCATGTTTAACGACTCTTCTTGTGTCGTCTGTCTCTGTCTCAACTATCAAAGGCGCCAAAAACCCTACAAATTTATAGGTACGAAAATTTCTCATGGAACTGTTTTTGCTTTCTTTTTTTTTTTCACCTTTGATGGTGTTTTTTAACACCTGTTTGGTTTTAAAAAACTTAATTTTTTATCTTTCGTATATTTTTATGTTTTTACTCAAAAAAATTATTTATTTATTTATTTTTTTAGATAAATTTAACTTAGATATATTTAAAAAATATAATATTTATAAAATAAAAATAAAAATTCATCAATCAAATACAAAAAAAATATTAAAAGATACAAAAATTTAGTATATTTTTATATTCTTATATATTTATTAATTTTTTTAAATATTTTCTCACAATATTTTACTTTTTAAGTGCATCTAAGTTAAATATATTTAGAAAGTGTAAAATTTACTTAAAATATTAAAAAAAAATTCACTAAAAACAAAAAAATAAAAAATTTAAAATTGAATTTTTAGAAAATCAATCAAAATCAAACAAAGTAACATTTTAGATGATTCCATAAATTTTATCCACTATTTGAGTCATGATTTTACACCTGCTCCATCAACCAATATTATAATTGCCAGTTACATAATAGAGTCAACATTTTAAACGAAAATAGTAAATTTTTTAATATAAAACTCATTATTTTAAATTAATTATACATTATGTTATATGCACACATTTAAAAGAGTGGACAAATTTATTTTCTGCATATTTAAAATTTGAATTCGTGTTGAAATGAGTGGAGTAAAATGAAAAAACCGATGAAATTTTGACAAAAATAGAAACTTTTTTTTTGGTTCACTTCTCCAAAATTTAAACACAACCTAGAGTGTGATATTTGCCCTCACTTTTTGTATTACATATAGGAAAAATTAGTGAAACATCCCTTTTCAAGTTTTAGTAAAAAAAAATCTAATATATATATTTTTATTGATTAAGATCTCTCGAAAAAATTTCTTTGTAAATATTAAAAAAAATTTGTGTCGGATTGAGATTTCTCTGTTAGGGAGAAATTTTTTTATGTCAAATTTTTTCTGTGACAATATTGAGAAACCAACAATTATAAAAATATTATATGTCCATATATTCCATATAAAATCTTAATATCAAAAATCTTAAAAAACCTCAGCTTACATATATTCCATTTTTCTTGTCTTACTAAAAAATGAATAATAATGTCCATACTAATTTTCAAGTACCAAGCTCAAAGAAGGGCATAATTGACATTTTCCTCTTAATAAGGGGAAAATACATTTTTTTGCCCTTCCTCTCTCTCCCTCAATTGAAAAACAACAATGCTAGTGAACTTATTCACCAGAAAATGAAATTAACTGCCTCATGGTAGAATTTCACCAAAACAAAATTAATTTAAGGACTAAGAATCAACAAACTAATTTATTTCACAGCTTTCAAGATCAATTACACCATAAACACAATTAGTTCTCACAGTGCCCTTATGAAATGTTTACAATTTGACAAAGATACAAAATAAAAACAAAATAATCAGAAATTTTTGAAAAAGAAGATGTGGATGATCTAGTCAAGGATACCTAAAAAATCACAATGAAACAACCAAAATTGGAAGAGGAGATTCAGTTTCTAATTCAGAATCTTGGATGGCAATCAGATTTTGTGCGCTGCCTGGGGAATCAAGAGTTCTTCATAATCATCAACAACCACCTATTTAGCATTTTAACCGAGTAAGTGTTGCTAATCAACAAATAGTTGAATAGGAAGAGTGAAAAGAGAGTTTTTACCTCGTATCTATCACCGTGATAAGTGTATTCCACACACAACTGCTTAGGTTCTCCTGGACAAGGATCACAGAAGCCCATAATGCCTGACTTCTTTACACCCTCATGAAGCTGCACAAAATTATTGAAAGCCGAATATTATAGACACGTCTGAAATTTGAAATCTCTAGAGTATAGATATGTTCCTAGAGCATAGTATAAAATCCACCTAACTGGCATACCGAACATTAAGAAATGGGTAGTTCTATTCGGACACCACCATTTCTCTCATTTCACTCCATCTGCTAAATTTTTTTAATTATGATTGCATCCCTCAAGCAAATTACTCTTCTGGGGAGGGGCAACGGGGCTAGGGGAGGGGGGATCACAGCAGCAGCGACAAGTCGTGACTGTTGGGCTAGGGTTGGGGTTCGGGTTTTGAGATTGGAGAGGATGGGGGTATTTTGGTATTATTTAAAAAATAATGGTGTCAATTGAGAAAAAAATAAGAAATTTATATTAAGTGGTGTGAATGAGTAAGATAATGTGTGGTGTGCAAATAGAATTACCCTTAAAACATAGCATTTACATATGCAACATAAAACATGGACAAAAATGATCAAATTTTGCATTTACATTACAACACTAGTCATTAATTAGAAAATTCAGTTTTCATCACCTGGAACTAAAATAGGAGCAATATTAGGTCCTCAGAATATGCAGAAAAGATATTTGAAAAGAATCATAGATATACAAGAAAAGTACCTTAAGTTGCCCAGAATCGTTGGCCAGAAAATTTAGAGGTAAAGTGACATCTATGACTTGTGAAGCTAATTCATCATTCGCTTCTTCCGCTTCATCTCTTTTTTTGTTCAAAGATTTTTTACTTCCGTAAACTGCTTTCGTAATTACCAGTCCATCTGTTTCTAGTTGTCTGCTCCTTTTCCTATTAGCCACATTTTGTAGCAACTGCTGAGCTTTCTCCGCTGCTGCCCTTGCCTCTTGAACCTACATAAAGCAGAGAAATACATAAAAATAAAAGGAGAGAAATGCCTCGATATTCCTGGATGTGGCCAAGGAAAGAAACAAGCTATATAGGCCAAAACCAATCAAGAAAAAACGACACAAAAAAGATGCAATTTGCACAAAGTAAAAGCATACATTTCAAGTCAAGAATTCCCACATCACTTAAAATCATCAAGTCCAACGTAATATTAAATATGTATCAGTAATAAAAGCAACATTGGGTATGCCTTTGCAGTTGAATAAATGAACCAAATCAAATCAAACAAAACTAAGCCTTGTGCTGTAATCAGAAAGTTGATTAATGGAATACTTCATTTGATATAGTAGATGCATTTTTGCATAAGCTTGCCTCGGAAAAGCCTTATCTAGCTACTTGACGTCAGCTAAGAAAGATATTCAGATATAAACAGACACAAACACATTATAATAAATCAGAAGACCATTTTTATCAAAAATACAAATACAACCACAAACAAGAAATATCAGAACTCTACAGATGCATAAAAGAGTCAATCTACTTAGGTTTTGCATTTTCTAGATGTGTATTAATACGGGTATACAGCTCATGCAAGACGGAATCAATCATCAGGCTAAAAAATAGGACAGGTTCAGCAACAACTATGTATGATTTATGGTAAAACAAATTGTGGCAAAAACAATTAAGACAAATTTATTGAGAATGATATTACTGGAGATAGAAGGTTGAAATTCAATGGAATCAAAGATATTGGACACCCTTGGGCCAGACCAGAACAATCCCAACTAGTGTTTGGTGTATTATTTTTGTTTGAAGAAAACGAGCAAGGGGGTGGTGGGTGTGGACAAAACAAAACAAAAAAAACCACAGGGTGTTATATACCTGAGTTGATGTCTTTTCCATATTCTCTAACATCTTCTGCTTTTCCCGTTTAAGGTAATAAGGTTTGATAATGAATGTCTGCAAATATACCAAAAGGAGTTAAAATTAACAAAAATTGTGGAATTGCCTGCTCAAAGGAAACTGTCAAAAACCCATTCTTAACTCAAACAAAGGATATACACTAAAAAGACAATAACAACTCATTATTAATGAGATCAGTCAAAAATAACTATCACCATTGCCTTTAAATGGTATAAGCAAAGATGCTCAAACATGTCAACCTCAATTATAATATATGAGTACAGATGAATAAGTTAATGCCAAAGCATCAATAAATGGTATAAGCAAAGATGCTTTGTCCATTTACTTATTTGAGCATCTTTGCTTATAACATTTAGTGATGTTTTGTCCTGCAGGAGACAAATAAGTTGTACTCTTCAAAAGTCATCCTCAATTATAATATACAAGTACAGATGCATAGATGTCAACCGCAGGGATTCTACATCAGAGATCCACATGGCAACAAAACTGACACAATCAAATATTCTCCACCACTAATTCTAATGAATTCTTTGGATTGAAAAAAGAATTGGAAAATCTGCAGGGAAAAAAAATATTGGAAAATCTGCAGACCAGGTCAACAAAAACCATTTGATGATGCTAATTTGCACAAAAGAATTAGAGTGACAGGCACAAAGTGGTGGTGTGTCCTAATTTCCTCTAAGGCAACCCAAGGAATTGAGAAAGTTTCTCGAACATAAGATTCTACCCTACTAAATTAACTCGCTACATTTTTTTTTCTTTTTCCAATAACTAAATCAACTCTCTACATGTCAGCATAAAATGATTTTATATGTGACGTTCTCAATCTTTTTATGTTCTGCCTTCGATCATGCACATATTGAAAGACATTTTGGAAATCTTACTCAATTTCTGACCTGCGTCATGTTAGATATTGCACTTTTGCGCAAAACATATATGCTGCTTAATTACTGAATTTGGTTACAATTGAGTATTTCGCATTCCACCTTAAGCAGCATTGACAAGAAAATTCTTTATATACAAGTTATTAACAAGAAATTAAGGAGTGAGAATTATAAATTATTCAAACAACTAGACAGATTGAAAAGAAATAGAAGTGGGCATTCCTTGACAACCTTGAGAAAAAAGTAAAGTGATGTTGGAATAACAAATGCTCCAGTTGCAAACACAGCATTCAAATGCCTGGAAAGCAGAATCTGCATGCAGTAGCCCATTAACAACATATCAAAAACCCAAGGCATAACGCATAAACATAGAATGATATTAACAGTATTACAATCACATACACAAATTTATGCAAGTACTATCTAAAAATTGAAACAAATAATATGATTGACTTGAATTCATTGCAAACCTTTATTTCTTTCTCTAACATAAACTAGGTATGTACTATTGCTGATACAAAGCCTTAAACCATAAGCAGCATGAATCTAACACAAACTAGGAACTGCCTAACCCTGGATATTAGATTTATGTCGTAATTCATGACTACTTCACCAGCTAAGAGAATGCCACTCAACCAAATTGAAAAATCCCTCATGTGGCTCAAACTCCCATTTATTTTCTCTTTTCTGTTGATAATTTTACTTTGTTAGACTTTTTGCCACAAAGATGTAGTATCTGTTGGTTGTGCTCATGTCACAGGCCAAAATCATGATCACTTTTAGTAGGTTGTTAATATGAAGATATAATTTGAAAAAGAGCACACCATAAACAACATTCCACCCCCCAGCAGATGCTGAAACACACAAAAACTGAAAAAAAAAAAAAGAAAAAGAAAAGTTTGTGAGGATGAGATCCAAGCCTAAATAGAAAAGGTCTCATGTAAAACACACACCTTTTCCATATAGAAAAGGTCAAATGGACATGAAAATTTGTGGCCCAAAAGTTATAAGCAAATTTTATGGGGCTCAAACAAGTGAGCATGAGGATGGCACTTACAGGAACAATTAACTTTTGTCTCCCACGATGCAGTTCAAATTTCCAAAAGATACCCTACCAATTAGAAAGAACATGAGATAAAACCAACTGAACCAAAATACAATATACAAAGAAAAATCACCACTAAAATCAACATATAAAATGGAATATATCCAGATGAACCAAGATGTAAACATGCAATATTGTGGATTTTTGTAAGTTAATATTCTGATGGAATGGTTTCTTTATATTTTACTGGGTTTTAGGAATTGGGGGTATTTCGATAATTTGGAATTCTCTGGACATCGGTTGTGGAGTTGCCCATGGGTCTTATTATGGGTGAAATCATGTGTTTTGAGTCCTACAGGCGGCCTACATTAGGTTTCGAATATTCAATAGTCAAATTTTATTAGTTTGAAATAAAAAAGTCATACCAAAAGAATTAGCAGAATCCTGAAGCCTATCAATACTTGAGAAATCTTTGTATCCATTGGATTGAGATTTTAAGAATGTATTTAAAGTTTTTGTGCCCTTGTGTGATGCTTTACGCAATCCCATCTCATGGAGTGATTCCTATGGAATTTCAGATGGGATTCCTCTTCTTCTTCTTCCACATAATTACCACTCTCCGGCTAGTGTTTACAGACATAAAACAAACCCAATTTCAATCGAAAAAACCCGACCCAATCAAGCCCAAATCATCCCCAATTTTTTTTCCCTGCCCTCTAAGCCTTTAATTCCACATCTTAAACCTTAAAACCTTTCTTCTTCAAATTGTTTCTAGAAATCCAACAACCTGCACTTAGAAAATAAGGCACTATGTCTCATTGGTACACGTCACATCAATACTTCGTATAAAGCATACTGTTGTTTCACTATGTTTCTTCCAATGGCATCTCCAAAGAAGCATCACCGGGGAAAAAAAGATAACAGGAAAATGATATTTTGGTATACTGCTCTAGACATATCCACCACCAAAGATTTGCAGATATTACCACTCTAATTTGAAAAATACTATTTTTTACCAGAGTAACAAAAAAGAGCATATAAAGGAAACAAGAGCAAGAACCTGAATTCCTACTGAATACAACATGCGGACAGTACTGAACTGCGATATTTTCCTTCCACCCCCGACTTCAAGCTCAAGCATAGTGCTGCAAAATGGTGTAAAAAGTCACAGGAGAACAATCTTGACTTGCACAAAGAAATAAAGTGTATAGCAACATAGACATTAGAAAAGTTGGTCAAATAGATGGTACCATACTACATTGTCTTTATATGGGGGGATTCTTATGGTTGCTCAAACTAAGAAAGCGAAGACAGCATGACAAAGAATATGCTCTTTCACTATCAGATGACAGCATAATAGCATATGCAGTGAATTGCAGTTAAAACACATGCATAAAATCATATGAGATAACAATTTGAAATGCTTAGTAAATGCTGTGGAATATTTAATCAATGAACATCTTGCATCACAAACGTAAGCCCTTAAAGATATCCACTCTAACTGAAGACCTTCATAGTTGGTACTACAGTACTTTGCACCTCCCCATAAGCTGCACCATTGAGTACATAATTTCCAATATAAACCAAAATTTCTTACTGAAATGTGTTTTGACACTTTCTGACTTTGACTAAGAGCGATGCATTGACTCTCATTGGAATAACACAAACAGTCCCATGCCTAAGTTGAAAACAGACTACAGGAATACAAATAGATTCTGATACAGAATTGTGGTGAAAGAAATCAATAAATAATTTATCAGGTGCAAAGGTAAATTACATCTTCCGTTTCTTGACATATAAAAAAAAAAGAAAATTATGCTGCCAATTGAGAAGAATCAGTAACGAACATTAGCAATCTCCAATTGCCAGCAAATAGGTGAAGTGGCAGACCATAACAACACATTAGGTAAAGCTATTACTTTTCATGAAAATGAACAGGTGCATGCCAAGACCGAAACAAAACACATCCACGAAATCAATATCCGAATTAATACAAAAGAGCATACCTTCCAACTCTGCCAGCAATACGCCCATGAGACTTTGTGGAGAAGCGGTGAGTATAATGAGCCGAAGCTCCAAAAGAACTTGTGCCAATCTGCAATGGATTGAACATGAACAAAGTATTTGGGGTATCTCAATGTGCTGAAAGTTTAAGGTATCTATGATAAGGTGGGAAACAAGAGAAAAAAATCTATATGGTTCATGCAAATGTTGAAGACTGTAGATGAAGAATGAATTGAGTGAGTATCAATCATATAAATTCACCTCAATTGGCAGACAGACTAACAGAATACAAGTCAAGCAATTTTTATTTTTAAAACAAAGAACAAAAATTAAAATTAAAAAAGAAGGGTAAAAAGATGTTGGGCCCTGGCTTGAGTCATTTTCTTTTCTTTTATTCCCCTTTTTGGCTAAGGTTGCATGGCACAATAATACTCTAATGATCCATTGGTACAAAGCCCTGGTGATGTTTTAAAAGCAACCATAACTATCATGATGCTCAGCTTGTGGAACAGTAGACGGGTGCTTAAACATTTGCTTTAATGGCTTAGGTTCAACTCCTCATGGCTTCTAAACAAATAAATATTTTTTAGTGATTTTAGTATATTATGTACCTGCCTGGTTATGATCAACATGGCCACATGGGTATCCAAACATCTGCCCAGGTTGACAATTCATTCTGGGCCTCTCAGTTGAACAAACCAATTAAGGAACCAGCCCAATGAAGTGCCAGTTCACAGATTCTTCTGTGCAACTCCTGGGCTGAATAGGGTTCATTGAAACTGTAAAGTTTAGGCATCAGAATTTCAACTGCATATTGAATGATGCCTTGATGTAAATATGTCCTTCCTCAAGTTAATTGCAAGTACAGAACCTCTAGTGATTCCATAACGTAAATGTGTCCCTCAAGATAATTGCAATTAACAAACATTCATTCTTTTCTAAAAGATGTTTTTCACTTGATTAATGAGGAAAATTAGATGTACCTTAATCTCTCCAGCAGCAGACATTTTCTCTTCTTTCTTCTGCCATCCAACAGCTACAGATGATTCTGGACCTAAAACAAGCTGTATCTGCAGGGAGGAAAAGAAAAACGAAAAGAAACAGATCAAATACATGAAAAATGGTTAGAAGCAATAGAAAGCTGATTTATATAACAAAAGAAAGCCAGGTCTATGTTATTTATTGCTTCTTTTTGGCAATGCTTCCTACTTCAGAAACTCATCCTTTTTACCAGATTAATTTTTCTTTAGCTTAAAGTGAAAAATGAATTAAGGACAAAAATGATTGTGATCAAACAGCATTTAGTTAAATAAAAATTCAAAGCTCCTTTAGTTCATCAGCAGATTCCTGCAGGCCTTCAAGTGCATTCCATTATTGCTTCAAAATTAATCACACATTATGTTCAACATTACAGGGATGCTGATAAGATACAAAGGAGCCTACTTGCAACAGAAAAAGCATACATTTCCACTAGATGTGTCGGAGAGTTGGCGAGTCCAGGAATTAGAAAGATTAATTGAACCGTCTCTTAAAGACATCGTAATGCCCATTGTTGCTGTGGAGTGCAGAGATAGGTTGCTGAACAAAGACACAAAGAAAACGTGGAGTAGAGCTAGTCAAATGGGAGGAAAGCTGAGATATCAAACCAACTTACAGAAGCAATTCTCCTACCGAGATGTTTGCACCCCAATCAGTGCACGTAAACCAGTAGAAGCCATGAATTCTATGGAGGAGACTGACGATATCTGATGCCTAAGCATAACAGAGGCCGCACCACCACCTGCATTTCCGTTAACTGCCAGATTTCCACCAATAGCAATAGCATTGCGTTTGGAGATTTGAGACTGAAGTTCACTTGACATTGCCATTCTGAAATGTATATAAATGCACACAATTGGTTTAGATGAAATGATATAAATTAAAACAAATCTTTACATATGCATGAACCTAGTGCCTTTACAAGATATAAAAGACAATACAACATAGACAGAAAACTTATTGGACACATTCAAAAAGATAAAAAGGATATTATGGTACTGGTTATTATGGGAATGAATATTGTCACAACTACCCATTTCAAAGTGTATTTACATATTTATGTGGGAACAGATCTGAAGAATTAGAGTCTAAGCAACTTAAGATGTGGCAAAAACACCACTTTGTGATATTGAGTATCTTGGAAAAAATGGATTTTACAGCAAGAAGTAAGCCATCATTATATTTCAAAAAGAGTCAGAGACAGAAAAGGACAAACATAGTCCTGGAAGTGACGTGAATAAAAGAGAAATGGTGACGAGGCTCATTCCTGTAACTTGAACCCGTGCCACAATGCATAATCTAATTCAAAATTGCAGAACACAAAGAAGTCAGGAAAATAAAATGAACTATACCCTCTCATAATGCTGCCACCCTTTAGAAACTGTGGCAAAGACAAATTGGCGAGAATCGAACCAGAAGGTTGGACATGAGCTGAAACCTTTTCCATTTCTTTCCTACGCCGTAATCTTTCTAGTTCTTCCTTAATCTCTTCAGCTTTGTTCAGTTTAGGACCAAGTTCCAAACCAGACGTCAATCCTTCCATGCCATATATATCATATATCTGCCTTTTCCTCTCATCAGATAAAATTTCATAGGCTTCACATATCCGTTGGAAGTTTTCTGTCGCAATATCCTTCATCTGAACAATAAAAAATAAAATATTCCATGCAATAAAAAAATGTAGTCATTTAATCTCATTTCAAATCAGAAAGTAAACTCAAGATTCAAATGAAACCACATGTTAAAACTTCTTCCCATAAAAAGGACTCTGAGAAACTAGCAATCCATATCTTAAATTTAGAGTCTTAGACATGCAAATCCTTACATTCTGATGAAGTCCAAGAACTGCAAGAGCGGGTGGGGGAATTATCAGTTCTATAAGCATATCAACCAAAAGACTACTGTTGAACTAGTTGCAATTTGTAAATATATAGTCAAAGATGAGCCCAAATTGAGTATAATCTAGTAAACTGACGACATTAGATGACTTGAGTTTCCTAACACTTCTAAATTTAATTAACAACATAAGGACAGTAACATAGTAAAACTCTGAATTTTACTTACCCAAAAAGGTAAAAGTATGAATTTTCAAGCAGAACATTCCGAAAACACTTGTCATTTTCAGTAATACATTCAACAATCCTGATGGATTCATATTCTAATAACCTGATGAATAGAGATATGAATCTACTTAAGCGTTATAAATAGAGATATGAATCTACTTAATTTGACTAATGAAATGGCTTTTGATAGGGCCGCGTGGAGAAGAAGGATTCATGTAGCCGACCCCATTTGATGGGACTTAAGGCTTCGTTTGGTTTGGTTTATACCATGACTTCTATGTTCAAATTTAACTTTAAAAAATTGGGGAAAAACTAAAAATCGTATATGCTCTCCCGGTTGATTTTTAAGGTGATCATTTCTTGTAAAGCAAATAGATTAAATACTACAAACTTTTGGTTCTTGACTTTTAGTCCTACAGTCTCGATGTTTTGATTTTGATAAAGATTTGTCTCGTTTCTCTGCCTCTCTACCATCCTCACAGATTTTGGGGTACACCACCTCCAAAATTGATAATTTCTCTTCTCACAAATGACATACAATCTCCTTTTTGATGGCTTGTCAGACTTGGTAACCCTTATGGCAGCTCTTACACCAAAATCACATTTCAAAGCCTCATATTCCAAGTCCAAGATCTCAGCACTGGAAGAATAGTTACTAGAGGATGACATGTCCCTACATTAATTTTTAAGGTGATCTTTCTTGCAAAGAAAATAGATTAAATACTTCAAACTTTTGATAAAGGAGCATTAATATCACTAATTGATCTTGCAGTGTCCTCAATTCAGAGAGTGTTTAAAAAGTAACTGTCATTATGAAAATGAACCACTAACTTATCCAACCAAACAAGTCCATATATCTACTAGAAGGAAAATATGAGTACTCCGTCACAGTGAAAAATAATTCTGTACTAAGAGATAACACAACAGCATCTTCAAACAACAGTGATTATAATGATAATAAGACTTCAACAAGATAAAAGCCAGTCCATTAACAAGACAACCAAAAAAAATGCTTAATCTAAATTGAGTACTCCAAAATTGGGAGTTTCAATATCTAATCTTCTGTTAGGGGCCTAAAACAAATTTGAATTAAAACATTTACCAATTCAAATATTTTGAATTAGTTAATCGAAAAAAATGGAGTAATTCATTATATAGAATAATTCACGCAGGCCCTTCAGAAATCTATAATGTCGTGAGTATAGAGCACCAAACAAATATGGGCAAAATCCACTTACCCCATCATAGTTTGGGCTATTTGCAATTTACCCCTTGTACTTCAATAATAGGCAAAGAAATCTCTTGTGATTTTGGACTAAAATGCAATGATAAAACTGTTAATGAAAAATGTTTATTCTTAATCTTATCTACTCTCTCTCCAATGTTTATATTCTTTCTTTGTTAAATTTTCAGCTAGCTTCAAACTTAAAACAAAATTAGCTTAATTTGCGGCAAGGAGATCCTTTATCTACGTGGTTGTTCATTCTGGTTATGAAGGCTTTGGGACGTTTGTTGTCCAGGGCTGCTCATGGAGGTTTGTTGCAGGGATTTGAGGTGGGTTCAGGTCCTGCGTCTTTGCTGGTTTCACATCTTTTCTATGTAGATGATGCTCTTATATTTTGTGATGCGGATGTGGACCAGATTGGACATCTTCGGTGTGTGTTGTTGTGTTTTGAGACTGTGTCAGGATTGCGGGTTAATCTTTCAAAGTCTAAATTGATCCCGGTTGGGGAGGTGGCACGGTTGCTGGTTTTGGCAGCAATTCTAGGGTGTAAAGTGGTTTCGTTGCCAGTGTCGTATCTTAGTCTTCCTTTGGAAGCTTCCTTCAATGCTCGAGAGGTATGGGATGGAGTGGTAGCATGGGTGCAACAGAGGTTAGCTGGCTGGAAGCGTCAATACTTGTCAAAAGGAGAAAGGCTTACCTTGATCAAAAGTGTCTTATCGAGTATCCCAACTTATTTTATGTCTGTTCATGTAATTCCGACGGCAGTGGCAAAGAGGATTCAGAAGCTGCAGCGAGACTTTTTATGGGGTGCTGAGGGGGTGGTTTCTCATTCCCATTTGGTAGCGTGGGATCGGGTGTGTGTTTCAAAGATAGGGGGTTTGGGGGATTAAGCGGTTGGTCTGGTTTAATTTGGCTTTGTTGGGTAAGTGGTTGTGGCATTTTGTGGGAGAGAGGGAGCATTTATGGAGGAAGGTGGTTGTAGCAAAGTATGGAATGGGGAGAGAAGAGTGGTGTTCGGGAAGGGTAGGGATGACTCATGGTCGGGGTGGTTGGAAAGGTATTTGGTTGGGTTGAGAGGAGTTTTGGCGGCGGGTTTGGTTGAAGATTGGAATGAGAGACAGAATGCGCTTTTGGTGTAACAAGTGGTGTGGTGATATTCCTTTAGACCAGATGTTCCCGTTGATTTTTGGGATTGTAGAAGATTGTGAAGTCATGGTGGGGGATGTTTGGATTGGCCAGGGAGAGGAGATTGTTTGGAATGTCGGATTGCGCCGTTCTATTTAAGATTGGGAGATGGATCAGTTAATGGAGTTGCTGGGTTTCTTATATGGGTTGCGAGGAAGGGGTGTAGATGAGGATTCGTTGGTTTGGACTTGCCCGGGTTCCAAAGGGCTATTTTCTATGTCTTCATCATTCTATGGTGCGCTTGTTCCTGTTGATACGGATCTCTTCCCTTGGAAATGTGTTTGAGTCTCCGGCATGCCTTCCAAGGTATCTTTCTTTGTTTGAATAGCGACTTTAGGCCATATTCTAACCATTGATAATTTAAGGCGGCAGGGACATATTATAGTAAATTGGTGTTGTTTGTGTTATGGCGATACCAAGTCGGTGGATCATTTGCTTATTCATTGTCCAGTTGCTCCTAGGTTATGGATGCTTCTTGTTGTGACTTTTGACTTGGAATGGGTACAGCAGGCACTGTGTCAACAGTTTTACAAAGTTGGACTAAGGGTAGGGTTGGGCGGAGGCGGAGGCGGAGGCGGAGGAAAGCGTGGATGATAGCTTCTCATTGTTTAATGTAGCTCCTTTGGTTGGAGCACAATGGGCAGGTTTTTCAAGGAGTGTCACATTCAATTCCTTGGTTGGAGAGACGGTTGCTTATGGTGTTATATAATTGGGTTACGGGATTGATTGATCTAAATGTTTTGGCTTTTTTAGATTTTGTGGAGGATTTATTATCTTAGTTTTTCTTTAGGAGCATGATATTTGTATTCTTTGCGTCATCTTGATGCTTTTCTAATAAAGTGAGCATATTTATCCAAAAAAAAAAAAAATAACAATAAACTAATTTGCAATTTATTTTATTTTTTCTAACAATGTCTTTACTTAAATAAAATATACTGATTACCAAATATATATTAATTATGGGTATAATAAAGTGTATAATCAGCTGCAATTAGGGCTTTGGATGAAAAGGACAAAAAAAAATGTCATTTTTGGCTCTTTTTTCTTTGAAATTTGATTTTGTAAAGTAGATTTTGCCCAATATATATATACAGAAACAAAACAATTATAATATAGCTCAGTCAGTCACAGAGTAGATGTACTGAAACAATACCCAAACAAGCCACAAACAAAAACCCAAAACAAACACAACATCATAGTGAGGTTGCCATTCAATTCAAACAGGCTTAGAGAGAGAGTTGCCTGGGGAGATTGGTATTTGTCAGGGTGATAGACTTGGGCCCACTGGCGATAGGCTTTTCTGATTTCTTCATCGGAGGCTTCTGGAGATATGTGTAGCAGAGCGTAAAGCTCTTTGTTCGGGGGTCCGACCTCCGCTTCTTTCATGTTCTTCGGAGAATCGAAGGACTGGGTGGTTTGTTTGCTAGGGTCGTGTTGTTTTTAGTGGGATTGCAGTGATGATCAAGTGTCAAGTGTTTTATGTTTTCATTTTGCGTTTGTTTCTTGTGAGATTGTGCGTTATTCGACTACGGAGCCAGCCATCAATGGAATCTAGGGGTCCGGTTTGGTATATTTTTTTTAAGTTAGCCCTTGTTTGCAAATTTACTATTTTAGTTGATTATTTAAATTTTTTTTTGCTATTTTCATTTAGTTAAAATAGTTATATTTAAAAAAATTAATTAATTTTTTTTATAGTTGATTTAATAATTGTAAAAAAAAATATTATATTTTATGAACTATTTTATCCCAATCCCCCAAAAATTATATTTTATGAACTATTTTATGAACTATTTTTTTTTGTCGTTTCATTTTTTTTTCTTTTAGTTTATCAATATTTAACAGATTTTGTTATGTTTTTTTGCTCTAATTTCTTCATTTATTCTTTTTTTCCTGTAATATTCTAGATATTCCGGTGAATTTCCAGTGATATTCTTAATGTCCAATGAACGTTTTGAACATTCCGACGATTTCCATTAACGTTCTTAACACTCCGGTGAACTTCCGACGATACTCCGGCGACTTTCCGGCAATACTCCAGCGACTTTCCGGTGATGTTGAACATTCTGACGAGTCTCCGGTAACCGTTTGACGGAAGTCCGACGGTAGTAAGATATAACAATATCTGTAAATTTAAAAAAAACAAAAAAAATAGAATTTTTTTGTAACAATTAAAAATGTATAGAACTAATTGGTGCAAATGTTTTGTTTAATGATTAGATGGGCCTTAAACTTTATATATGAGACTTATTAATAAGTTCCCTTAAAGTTAAAAACAAATTTCATGTGGTAGAATAATGGGCTGATCTTATGGGCTAGTTCACAAATAAAAAGACGGGTTGAAGTCCATAAAACACTTAATTTTCCTTTTTCTAGCAAACACTTTTTTTTCTTTTTTTTTTTTTGTAAGTAAAAGTTAGTGATGGTGGAGCCAACCTTACATGTTTGATATAATTACATATCCACTAAGGTTTAAATTTCATAGCACTTTACCATTAACTATATTATTAGTAATATAGATTAGGGTTGTAAATGAATTAAGCTATTTATGAATAAATTCGGCCCGGCTCATTAAGGGCTCGGCTCATTGCATAAGCTCGACTCGTCAAACTCGGCTCGTTTATATTTATTTAAATTATATATTAAATAATATATAAATATATATAAATAATAAGTTAATAAATACTAAAATATTTTAAATAAGAACATATAAGTAAAGTATAAATTAAAACAAACAAGTTAATAAATAAACTAAATAAAATATTTTAAATAAGAACAGATAAAGAAATTAAGCTCACAAAATTAACTTACAATCGGTTACTGGAAAATACAGAATTGTTTACTGAAAGTAACTAGAAAATACAGTTTTCTCTAAGCATTACTCTAGAAGTAAAAACATCTTTATACTATCTAAAATCACTTAAAGTATGGCAAATGAGATTACTAAGTTGATCATGGATACAATAATGAATATTGGTTGGTGTGCCTATAAAATGTTTGACTATGGTATATATTAAAATATTAATACCATCAAGGATACTAGATCTTATTTCTTCGTCAAAGATAGGAAAATCATTATCACCCATTTGAACAGCATGTTGAATAGATTCTTATTGATCAGAAATGAGATACTTATCCCACCAAGATTTAACATACCAATAAATCCAGTAGTAATTAAAATAACAATTTCAGGTTGGGTATAATTAGGATAATTAGTAAGATAACTATTTGAAACCATAGATAAATGATTGAGTTTTTGGAGAATTTGATGTTCACTAAGACCATCGATATTCCATTCATATAATTTTTTAGCAAAAACGGAAAATTGATTGCTAATATTGGTTTCTTCAAATTGGAGATCAGGAGGTGTAGGTTTAGTGTACCAATTTTTTGTAAGAGTAGTAGGGTTAACTTTAGGGTGTGTGATTCTATTAAGATGAGAATGTTGAAATTGTTGTGCTAACTTATTGATTTCATTATCGCTAGACGTATCAGAATGACTAGGAAATTCTAGTGGAGGTTATTGTGTTAGGACAGTAATTCCTTTGCTTATAGATGTAGACATTTTATTAAATAATTTTTTAATGGCTTCAACTGTAGTATTATCTTGAGTAGCTAAGCTTAAACGCTTTCTAGTACTAGGAAGATTAATAAAAGGTTTATCTAAAAGTTTACTTGTAGAAGTATGACTAATGGAGTAATCCTCAAAAGTAGTTTCGAGTTTATCTAGTTGTTTAGCAATAGTTTTTAAACATTGATTGGTATAATTATTTTGTTCAATGACTTTTTTAATTTCAGATTCTTCACTAGGGAGTTTAAAAGGAGAAGCATGAACAATGGTGCCTTTATGTTCAAACAGAATGGTTTCTAAAGGAGGGTGACTAGATGAAACAAAAGTGGTAGGGGAAGTTTTCCATTTAGTTTTTGTAATAACATTTACTTTTTGATAATAATTTTCTAAATAATCAAAGAAATTAATTTCAGTATTGATTTCTGTCATAAATTTATACCATTTTCTAGTAATTTTAAATTGTTGTTTTATACCATAAGTATTCCTATATGTATGTCTTTTTGACTTATTTGCAATAGAGGTGAATTCAGCATAAAGGTTATTAAGGTCTAGAGTAAAAGGTTTACTTATTGTTAATAATTGTGGGTTGACTGGAGGAACTACTCCAAAATCAGTTTGAGTAAGTGAATTTTGAGATACAGTATCTTCTTCTTGAAGGTGTGTGTGAGTAGAGTAAACTAGTTTACTAATTTGGAAAGTAGAGAAATTATCAATTCCTTTTAATTTATTATGTACATGTTGGGTTTGTGAGGAGAGTTCACAGAGGTGTAATTTCCTATCTCTTCTAGTAAACAAAAGAGTATTGAAGATCTCATCTTCATCAGTTTCGGTAGGTAAACTATAAGTACTATGACGAGAGGATTGACTATTAGGTCTATTAAATCGGATATGGACAGATCCGGTATTAAATTGTTGAATATTTTGAATATCATGACTAATAGAAGATCGTTGATTTTGGGAATAATTTTCATTGATAGTAACCCAATCATCAGGAAGATTAATATCTTTCCAACAAATCATTTTTGGAATAGAAATATTAGTTTCATTAGTGCTACCTTGGATTAATAGGGTTTTATCGTTGGGACTTTTAGTTAGAGCTTGAACATTTAAATTAGTTTTTATGCATTTGTAATAATTTCGATAAACTAATGCAATATTATGAACACTTTCTAACATATTGGTATATTCACCAAATAATTGTATATTTAATGTTAAAGTTTTTAATATATGGGAATCCTATAAACTTAAAGTAAAATTAGGAAAACAATTAAAATGTACTGGACCTTTATGAAGACCAGATTCCATCATTTCCATTACACTAGCATGATAGTTAATAAAACGAGCATCTCTTAAACATAAAAGGACAGAAATATTTTTACCTCGTTGGGTTAATGGGTTTATTCCTACTTGGATTAATCCTAAATGGATAAAATTATGGCCAGCTTTGAGATGTTTTCTGATTGACTCTTTAGATAATAATTGGCAAGTTTCTCGTGGTTTAATTAAAGCATAAACTTATTCAACTATTTTGACTTGCAAATCAACATTAAAGGTAGATTGTAAAAAACTAGTTTTATAAATTTCCTTAGTTTTTACTTTAGAAATATTCTAGCTTAAATCAATTTTAACATCTTGATATTCTTGTTCTTCTTCTTCATTAATTAGTATATCCGTACTAGGGATAAGAGTTAGAGTTGTAGATCTAGGGCTAACTGAAGAATTACTTCTGAATAATCGACTCATTTTAATTCTATAAAATTAAATCCAATTTTCTAAAACTCGTTTTGTAACTTATCATGTTTTCACGTACAGTGTGTTTGCTCATACCTTTTTCGGGAACTCCTATATCCTTCGACTGCCTAAACCTAAGGATTTACACTGGATTGAGACGAAAGGTGAGTGGCTACTGGCAAAGTGGAATACAAAGATAAGTTAAACAAGAATAGGAAGATTGGAGTTAATTTAAATAGAGTGGAAATGAGAAGACTATAAACAGAAAAGATCACTCAATAAGAAACTTAACATACTAACAACTTGGCTTTGATACCAAGGTAGTTCGCATTTTGTCTAGGTCTCTGTAAAATTTTAAGTTTGTATTAAAATTCAGTTTTCCAAGATGCAAGTAAAAGTTATATTTTCCAATTACTTCCAGTAAACAATTCTGTATTTTCCAGTAACCAATTGTAAGTTAATATTGTGAGCTTAATTTCCTTATCTGTTCTTATTTAAAATATTTTATTTAGTTTATTTATTAACTTGTTTGTTTTAATTTATGCTTTACTTATCTGTTCTTATTTAAAAATATTTTATTTAGTTTGTTTATTAACTTGTCTGTTTTAATTTATGCTTATTAGTTTATTAAATTTATCTCATTTGCCTTACTCTAAGTGATTTTAGATGGTATAAAGATATTTTTACTTATAGAGTAATGCTTAGAGAAGTCTGTACTAAGTCATTTTGGAAAGAAAAATTTATTAATGGATTACCCAATTTTTTGCTCATAAAATAAGAGATGTCCTTAGCCAACCTATTGACATTATAGAATATGATAATTTAACTTATGGTGACATAATTAGCACAATTCAAAAGGAAGGTCTAAAAATATGCATTGATTTGAAACTTAGTGAAAAAGTTGCTAAAGATGAACACAAAGCTGAATATGAATTAGGAAATTTTTGTGAATAATATGGTTTACCTCCAATAGCCCATTCTCGTCGAAAAACTAGTAAAAACAAAAAATCTTCTTACAAATATTCTGATACGGGTAAAAAGAAATATTCTCCTTCTAAATCTACTGATAAATATTATACTAAACCTAAAAAGAAATATCATAAAAAATCTACTAAGAAATAGTCAAAGTTCACTTCAGATGTTACTTGTTATAATTGTGGTAAAAAGGGTCATTATTCCAATAAATGCAAATTAAAAGGCAAAATTAAAGCTAAACTTAATCAATTACAGATTACTGATGAACATCAACGTCAAAT